TTAATAAAGGTAGAGGATCTGTTCCAGATAAAGTTTATCTGCATGTGTTGTGGTATACAGTAAATATTTACCCTATTAAATGGTTTTTTTCATATTTCTGTTTATTATAGCTAGCACTATTTTCAAAAGTACTATCACTATAAATAGGATGTATTTAAAGAAAAGGGTAAGAGTTATATCTGGGGAAATTTACCCATAATTTTTACTCTAGTTTTCTCAGCTAGATTAGTCCTAAATATGCAGTAGAAGTTAGCCAGCTACAATGTTGTCAATATAACAATAAGGGAAAAAAATTTTTGAAGATTATTTCAGAGTAACTGGTAATTGAAAAACTTGAATAAAAAGACAAATGCACATCTCAGCTTTTTCTTTAGCATGATGAATGATAAAATGATTATATTTGAGTTTGTGCAAGTCATAACCTTTTTAATTTGTTATGTTTTCTGATGTTCAAGTCCACTGAATATTGTAACTAAAATATTTGTGGGTAAAAGTAAAAATATGATATTTTTTCCCTACTTCTCAAAATTAAGAACATCTGTGTAGGGAATAGCAGTAAATTAAATGGGACCATGTGCTTTATATGTTTACAGAATATGTTGAGTATGAAAAAGATAAGCAATGGAAGTAGCCTTTAATTTTTATGCGTTGCCTCTTTATACCTGTTTTAAAAACTTAATGTAAAATTATTTAAATAAGATCAAAGGTGTTCAGATTTCTTTTGAAATAAAAAGTTATCTCAGTGAGATCAAACAATATAGAAAAGAAAAATCATCACCATTCTTTAGAGTGGAATTGGTAGAGAAAGTTTGTTTCATTATTTGTAGATTTGCCATCTCTCATGATTTTTCTCTAATATACTACTAATCATTTACTCTAGTCATAAAGAACTGTTTCTAACTGTTATTTCCAGGCAGATGTTAAATTTTTCTAATTAGTAGTAATTGGTGCCCTTAGGACTAATTGAATGTAAAATGAGAACGTAATACAATTTTGATTCTTTCCATTTTTGGTTTCATTTTATAATGTAACCATAATGCAAAATTTTTCAGCCTTACCACTATGGACATTTGGGTTCAGATAACTCCTTGTTGTGGGAGGCTCTCCTGTGCATTAGTCAGATATTAACGACATCTCTGGCTTCTACCCACCAAGATAACCTAGCACTCCCCTGTCATGAAACAATGTCACCAGATATTGCCAGATGTCTCCCAAGGGCCAAAAGTAATTCCAGTTGAGATTCACTGCCATAGTATATTTACTAAAATTCTTACCAGTTTTTCAGGAGTAAAATTTGAAATAAAGCAGTGTACCATTAGTAGCTGGGCACAAAATCAGAACAGAAAAGCGGCTAGGCAATATTTTGGATAGTTCAGCATAAATAAAAAGATCAGAAGCAGTAAGTTCATTTCTTAATCAAAGACTGGGTTGTCTAGGTAATTGGTACAGAACAGACCACTGGAAACATTTTAGTGATTACCACACAGGGAAATAAAATTAGTTAATAGCCAGAGATGTCATTTGTGGCTGTTTTTCTTCAATCATTATTCTAAGATGTGAAGCAGCAGGATCTGCAGATATTAGAGGACACATGAAGGTCCTTGTAACGATTTTGTGTTACCCCCAAATCGCAGTGATTTTCCATGGAGTGCTGGAATAAAAATACCTCACTCCTTTTGTCATTATGTCTACAACAGGTGATGCCCAGTGCCCTGCCGGTAACGCTATTAATCTAACTTCCTCCAAAATTTTTGGCATTTGGTATCTTGACAAGCACTCAGCAGGCAAGCCAGTTCACAGGGTGTTTTTCAGTTTAAACATATGCCTGAGAAAATTTTAAAATATAGCTATTTGAGAGAGAGAGAGAAGCAAAATGATTTCAAATTTTATTAAACTGAATATGTAGGAGAGAGAAATATACAAAAGCCTTAGCTGCCTACATGTGTTAAGCTTCATATGCATTTGAAAGCATTTTACAGTAGCTTTACTAAACATGTATACAAAAACCTGAAGGAAAATTATTGATAGAGGGCAGTTAATATCACGAGACTCCTTGAGGTAGTGTCTGGAAGAAGGTAAAATAGGACCAACCTGGATGCTGAGGAAAACCCTACTCACTAGGTCTGTGTTGTTTTCCTGTTCTCTGTGACATATACCTGCTGTAGAGCAAGGCAGCAAGAGGAAAAAGGAAATAGTATGTCTTCCCTGATTCTTTTTAAAATGAATTGAACTAATCTTGTTTTAAAGCCTTGCCTCAAGGGGCACCGGGGTGGCTCAGTCAGTTAAGCCTCGGACTCTTGGTTTCACCTCCGGTCACTATGGAGATCAAGCCTCACATCCATCCCCACTTCCTGCTCCTGGCTCAGCATGGAGTCTGCGTGGGATTCTTTCCCTCTTCCTCTCCCTCCCCCTCAGCTCCTCGCCCCCTGCATGGTCGCAAGCTCTTTCTCTCTCTCTCTCTCTAATAAATAAATAAATGAAATCTTAAAAACAAAAACAAAACCCTGCTTCAAAAAATTCCTATGTTTATGTTAGATTGGACTTCCAAAAGTAAAATCATGCTATGCTGTGGCCCTTCAGGTGACCCTCTGAACTATTGGACCATTGTACGGTAGATATATAATTTGTTCTTGCCACTGGAGATTTTTTTGTTTTGTTTTGTTTTAGAGAGAGACAGCTCAAGCGTGAGCATTGGTGGGGGTGGGGGACTGGCGGGAGGGGCAGAGGAAGAGGGAGAGAAAGAAACTTAAGCAGGCTCCATGCCCAGTGCGGAGTCCCACACAGTGTTTGATCTCAAGACCCTGAGTGGAAATCAAGAATTGGTCACTTAACTGACTGAACCAGCCAAGCACCCCAGTAACTGGAGATGGTCGTAAAATGCCTAGCAAAAGGCAATAACAATGATAGAGCAACCAATAAACAGCGGCTGAATGAATGTATGGGAAGGAGGTGTCTTGGTGTCAAAGTATGCCTTATTGTATAATATAAAAAATTTTACATCAGTAGAGAAAAACATACACAAAAGAAGGCATACACCCATCACCCAGCCTGAAAACTGTCAACTCATGGCCAATCTTGCTTCAAACATACCCCACCTCTTTTTCCCTTCTCTGTTGTTTTGAAGCAAATTACAAATATATCACTTTATTTATAAATATTTCAATGTCTGTCTCTAAAATATCAGGGCTCTTTTCTTTAAAAAATTACATTATCATGCCTGAAAAATTAAAACAATTTCTTAGTGACATCAGGTATCCTGTCTTCAAATTTTCAGTTGTCTCATAAATAACTCTTTTTTTAAGTTTTTCATTGGAATCAGAACTCAAAAAAGATCCACAGATTGTGATTATTTGATATATTTATTAAATATTTTTTAGTTTTCAGTTTTCTCCATCTTCTCCTTCTTTTCTCCCATATCATTTATGTTGTTGGAAAACTGGGTTGTTTGTATCACATTGTTTTCCATCGCCTGGAGTTTACTGATTTTATCCCAATAGTGTCACTTACTGAGGTATCACTTGTATTTCCCCATCTCCTGTATTTCCTGTAAACTGGTAGTTGGAGCTAAAGGCTTAATCAGATTCAGATTCACTTTTCTTTTTGCAAGTCCAAGAAGGTGGTGGCCAAATCGCAGTGACAGCGTTCTTGGCTTTTTGTTCAGTGCCTTGCAAACGGATTCAGCTAAGGTTTGTTGGGTCTTTTCCATGTGCCTCACAATGTGCTTATGTTCTATAGGCATTACGTCATCTAATCATATTTAAGCTTCATAATACTGGTACATATCAATTTTTGTCTGATGACTAGACTCCTTTAGTAGGGCCAAGTGATCTTAAATGTCTGTCAAACAAACCCTTCAGTGTGCACCCCATTGTCACTTATGTGATTTAATTCAGAATTCTGTACGAATTTTCTTTTACTGGATTTGTCTAGAGCTATACAAAAAGAGTTGCATTAAAGGCATTTTTTATATTTTAATACTAAAGCTCGAAGACCTGTCACTTCACTGTGAATTCGTTGTACTCAAGCTTTTTGGTACTGGAATTCACCATCTGTTAATCTCACAAAGACAGATATCTAAATCGCAAAGAGGGCCAACAGAATTCAGTATTTTCCTTTGCACTCATTGTCTTCTGCAGGTGCATTTAGGTCCCTTTCATCTCTCTCTGCTTTCTTTGCATGCTCGCAGTGCTCACAGTATCCTACTGTTACCCAGTGTGAGAAACTGGCTCGTGATTTTAAAAGCAAAAGTAGCTTTTCATTGTTTGTTTACATATCTATAATTTATTCTGTTCATTTATCTCCATAGCCTCCAAATTTACCATCTATAAAACCAGACCCTTGGAGATCCCAGACTCAAAATATAAATGTCCAATTATCTTGACCAACTGACACTTCTGGAGATTAAACTGTTTGATATGTTGTTGACGGGGGGGAGAAAAGGCAGTAAGTAACTGGCCCAAGTTGCAATTAGATAGCAGAGAACTGGGAGTAAAACAATGCAAAGAGGATCCCATTGTGTAGCTTTCCAAGCTGACGTGCAAAGAGAAGTTTATTCTTTATATATCCTATCCCTTCTTTTCCAGTCATTTTTCCTTTAATAGCTGTAACAACATTCTCCTCAAGCTTCCAGAGTACCTATTAGTGAAGCATTTGGTTGAATGGAAGGAACAGAAAGCCTTGGTGCATAGACCGAGAAAGAGGAAATGAGCAGTTGGCTTCCCCATGAGACATTAAACAAATAGCCAAATTCTCCATTCTTGTTTCTTTAAAACAAAATTATTTTTACGCTGATTATCCATGAAGAACTTGAAGATTCTTACTGGAAATTGTCTCCTGTAAGCTCGTAGTACGTAGGAATCGTGTCTCTCTTTACCTGATCTCACAAAGTGCCCGGGGTAGCATGGTGCACGTGCTCGTGCTTCCTAACTAGCTTTCGATGCTGGTGGTATTTGAAAGGTTATACATTTTAAAGAGTATTCTGTTCCCTTTTTCCTTGGCAGGACCAAGGAGCTTCTTTTCTGAAACCAGTGCTGTTTGGACTCTGTGAAAGTACACTTTGTTCTAGGAGAATTGGTGTGTGAAAGCCTAGAATATATATTGAGTTCTTGCAAGAAGGAGGGGGGGGGATCATGTTCTAGGACAGTGAATGCTGACTTGGTGCTGAATGAATGATTGTTATTTGCTCTTTTGCTCACAGGCTCGCTTTTCATATGTGCGGATGAAATATCTTTTCTTTTCCTGGTTGGCGGTTTTTGTTGGAAGCTGGATTATATATGTGCAGTACTCTACCTATACAGAACTATGCAGAGGGAAGGACTGTAAGAAAATAATAGTAAGTATTCTTGATTTCCTAGTATGTAGAAAAACCATATTAATAATATCTTATATTTACTTCTTATATACTTAGTAATAATTGTTTTCAAAAAGTAAAAGTTAATTCGACCTTAGAGTTGTGTTGAACTTTGTAGATTTTGATGTGTCCAAGTTAGTAGGAGTGTTCCACATCTTGAAAAACCTACATTTCAGAAATCTAAATATATAATACTAGATTTGTGTGAGAGCATACTCACTACAGACAGGAATTTTTAAAAAAAATATATAATAATTTAGTTTACTCACATCAGATGAGTTTTTAAATGTTTAGAGTATGAAACTATTATTTACAGGCAATCTTACTGGAACACATCTTTTGAATAAATGGAGTCATTCTCAAATATCAAAAATGTATCTGAAAAACATAGTATATATTTAGTATTTATTTTCTGTCCTAATGATTGGACACATCTCAGGAAAATTGCTCTATCAGTCTAAGATTTCTAAGTGATTATTGGTTATACATTTGAGGATCTGTAAATTTAGCTCCTTGTTTTCTTCTAATATCTTCTGATATAGATAATATTAAACCATTGCATCTGAGAAATGTATTTTTGATAACGATGATTGTTGGGATCCCAATTATTATAATTTATTAAAGATTCTATAGTTATTAAGTAGTTACTCTTCACCTAGGCCATTGGTGCTAGGTATGTGCATATAACTGGGAACAGGCTGTCAGGACCATAGGAACTTAGAGCCCAGCAGGGAAGAAAATGAATACAGTAAGGTAGGATAATGATTACAATAGCAAGTGTTATAGGAACATAAGACAGGGAGACCTGAAGCTTTCCAAAGTTCTAAAAAAATGAAAATCAGTTTAACTCCAGGCATTCTCAATTAAGATAAAAATTATTCCCCAGGAGTATTACAGCCTCATAAGTAGGCAAGGGAGGAATTACTGGTCTAATAAGCAGGGAAATGAATTAGTAAAGAGGAGTCCCAAATCAAGTTCAAAGGCGTCAGTCTTATATGTCCATTTCAATTGGCCGTCCCAGATCATTAAGGAATTTTTTTTTTTAAGATTTGTTTATTTGAGAGAGAGAGCAAGGATGGGGAGAAGCAGCAGGCAGAGGGAGAAGCTGGCTCTCCGCTGAGCAGGGAGGCTGATGCAGTACTCGATCCCAGGACTGCAAGATTATGACCTGAACTGAACGCGGACACTTAACTGACTGAGCCACCCGGGCACCCCCAGATCCTGGAAGGATTTTAAGATAGAAACCTCTGGGCCAGAGGCAGTGTACTGCATACTGGTCAGAAACACTTGAAATAATACTATGAAAGTCCCCCAAGCCCATTTTACAAATAAAGAAATATGTACACCTGAAATTAATGTAACATTGTATGTCAACTATGCTTTAATTAAATATATATAATATAGTATATATGACTAAGACAGAGAATTTGCTTGTTGATAATGGAGCCATAATTTGGTCCTAATTCTGCTTCTATACAAAGCTCAGACTCTTTCTGCTACCCTGTGTCAGAAAAAACTAACGAAATTATAGTTTAATAAACTAGGAAAAAAACCCCACAAAACTCATCTGCTTACCTTCAATGAAGAAGAAAGAAGCAGGAGTTATATAATCAATTATAATAACATAAAATAGGGGTGTTTTGGGTGGCTCAGTGGGTCAAAGCCTCTGCCTTCGGCTCAGGTCATGATCCCAGGGTCCTGGGATCGAGCCCCACATCAGGCTCTCCGCTCAGCCGGGAGCCTGCCCCTCTCTCTCTCTGTCTGCCTCTCTGCCTACTTGTGATCTCTCTCTATCAAATAAATAAATAACATATTTTAAAATAATAATAATAATAATAACCTAAAATAACCAAAACTATTTGAAATGTCTATTTTCTCTTTTTCGAGGGCATTTTTCTCAAACTAGGTTTCTTGGGACACATTAAAAAGTATCCCATGGATAAAAGCTTTCTGCCGTCAGATATATTTGAAAACAGCAGGTTAAACAAAGATAAATAGGTGACTTTACTGAGGACTTCCCAAGATACTTAATATATTAATATGTACTGTGCATCTCCAGAAAAAGCAAATACATTTGATTAGGAAAAAACTTCATCCCACCACAACTCCCAGGAAGACCTATTAACATCATCTGGTGATGTTAGAAATACTGTAATAAGAGATTAAAATAAAATGAAATAGGTATGCTTTTATTGTGTATTAATATAATAATATTCAAATTATAAGGCATATGATGGTGAATATTCTGTTACAAATGAGTTATACTTGTGAAGTATTTTTTATTTTATTTATTTTTAATATTTTATTTTTGAAATATTTTTCATGATTTTTCCTTTAATTTCACTTTATAGGAAATGGAAGCAGAATTCTAGCATAATTTAATAATTCTAATATAATAATAATTCTAGCATAATTTAATGGTTATCTGACTAAAATTTGAAAATAATTAAAACATTTTCTGAGCCTAAAACATATCTTTCCCCTGAGGCTGGCTTTAAAAAAATTGTAGTATCTCTGCATTTGGGATTTATGTTCTTAAAACTTAACCAAAACTGGTAATATTAAGATCAGTAGTACCAAGATACTACTAACATTTAATAGGAATTTTGTGTTTAGAACTAGAAAGCAAGCAGAAAAATTATTTCTAAAGTATACATTAAAGCTTCAAAGAGCTGACAAGATACCTTGTGAGGAATTACTTGGTCAAGATCTGGGAGAGGATAAGGTTTGAGAAAGGTGAGCCTAGATTTGGTGACTTTGTTTGCCTGGGGTATATGATCTAAAATAGAGTTTTATGGGGCTAGGAAGATCAAAATCTAGTTCAGGTCCTACCAAGAGTAGGACCTTTGTACACCATGCTGTCAGTTGATACCCTAAAGAGCAGAACCCCAACAGTAAAGGTGAACTAAAGGGAGCTGACTTTTGGAGCCTCTTTTTTCCTTAGGGTTGTTGCTGATACTGGGCATTGAGCAGAGGTCTGAGAAACAGGACTGTATACTGGGAGAGAGCTGCTGCTGGGGACAAGAAATTAGCAAGCTTTTGTAGAAAAGTAAGAGAGCCTTAAGCATACAGCCAGTTATCCTGTTGGGATATTTGCCAAATCCTAGGGTTTTGCAGAATGGGAGGCTAAACATTTCATCGGAAAGCCTTTGAAAAGCAGAGCAGACATTTTGGCAGTCATACAAGATACAGCCTAGAGTTATGAACCTGCCAATGGGGGGACACCCCAGTGAATTCCCAGGCTCTCTATTAAAAACCCTAGAGGGCTATGCTCTTGGAATGGAGATCAGCCAAAAATAGCTTAAGCTTTACCAGAGCTGCAGCCCAGCCTCCATTCAGCACAGTCCCTGGTTGGTGATCAGCTACCATTCTATCTGTCTACTCACGGAAAGGGAAACGCTCTCTGGAGGCACTGTGTGAAAAACCAGAGGACATGGCAAAAGACAAGGTGACATGATCAAAAACCAAGAGATAAACATGGACAGTAGAATCAGATCCACAGATGATCCAGATATTGGAGTCATCCTAAAAGGATTTTAAAATAACTGTGTTTAAAAAAATAAAATAAAATAACTGTGTTTGGGTTCAAGTAAATAGGAACAAAGGTAAAGAAATTAAATAAAACAATGGGTAATTTCAACAGAGAATTGAAACGTATTAAGAAGAATCAGGAATTTACAATATGGTATCCTTAAAAAGTTAAATAGGGAATTACCACATGATCCAGCAATTGTGCTTCTAAGTATATACCCAGAAGACTTGAAAGCAGGGACTCAAGCAAATACTTGCATACCAGTGTTCATAGTAGCATTATTCACAACAGCCAAATGTTGGAAACAACTCTAACATCCATTAACAGATGAATGCATAAACAAAATATATGTAATATTACTCAGCCTTTAAAAAAATGAAATTCTGATGCATTCTACAATATGAATGAACCTCAAAAACACAGTGCTAAATGATATAAGCCAGACACTAAATGACAAGTATTGTATAGTTCCATTTATATGAGGTACACACAATAACAATTATATAGAAATTGGGAGAATGATAAAAGGTGTTAAAATGTTTAAGATTCTTGGGGCGCCTGGGTGGCTCAGTGGGTTAAAGCCTCTGCCTTCAGCTCAGGTCATGATCCCGGGGTCCTGGGATTGAGCCCTGCATCGGGCTCTCTGCTCAGCGGGGAAACTGCTTCCCCCCCTCTCTGTGACTGCCTCTCTGCCTACTCGTGATCTCTGTCTGTCAAATAAAAAAATAAAATCTTAAAAAAAGAGAGAGAGAAAAGAAAAAAGTTTAAGTTTTTTTTTTTTTTTTTTTTAGATTTCATTTATTTGACAGAGAGATCACCAGTAGGCAGAGAGGCAGGGAGAGAGAGAGAGAGAGAAGCAGGCTCCCTGCTGAGCAGAGAGCCCGATACGGGACTCGATCCCAGGACCCTGAGATCATGACCTGAGCCGAAGGCAGAGGCTTAACTCACTGAGCCACCCAGGTGCCCCCCAAGATGTTTAAGATTCTTATCATATAGTTGAGTAAGGTAAAAGTATCAACCAATTAATATCAATTAGTCTATTCATATCAATTAATTAATAAAATATCCCTCAATTGACTTTAGACTTTGTTGACTGAAATATGCCTATTGTTATTTCTAGGATAGCTTCTGGAATAGATAAAGATTGTATCATCTCCAAACTAATAAGGAAAAATGGAATAATAAAAGAATACTGAGTCCTAAAGGCAAGAAAGTAAAGAAAAAGGAACATATAAGCAGTAGAAATAAAAATACATAATAAGACAATATGTGTCACAAATTGAATTCCCTGGGAAACATACTCAGAGACTGAGATTTGCCTGCAGGATATTTATTGGGATGGGCTTTAACATTAATTATTAATTAAGATTAAGATCTGTGGGGAAGTGAGGAAACAGGATAAACCAGAGAAGTTAAACTGCAGTACAGTGGTAACAAAGACCTCAGTTGA